TCACTTCCAGAATAAAAATGTCCTGATAATTTACTCACCCCCATGTCATCCAAGATGTTCATATCTTTCTTCCTCAGTCAAAAAGAAATTAGGTTTTTGAGGAAAACATTCCAGGATTTTTCTCCATATAGTGGATTTCAATAGGGACCAGTGGGTTGAAGGTCCAAATTGCAGTTTCAATGCAGCTTCAAAGGGCTCTACATGATCCCAGCCGAGGAATAAGCAGAGTCTTAAGAGTCTTTTTTAAAAAAAAAAAAAAAAAAAGTATATACTTTTTTTTAACCACAGTTTATTTATTTATTTTTTAGAAAATTAATCGATCATTTCGCTATCCTTTCGCTAATCCTTATTCCTTGACTGGGATTGTGTAGAGCCCTTTGAAGCTGCAATGAAACTGAATTTGGACCTTCAACCCGTTGGCTCCCATTGAAGTCCACTATATAGAGAAAAATCCTGGAGTGTTTTCCTCAAAAATCTTAATTTCTTTTCGACTGAAGAAAGAAAGACATGAACATCTTGGATGACATGGGGGTGAGTAAATTATCAGGAAATGTTTTGTTCTGGAAGTGAACTAATCCTTTAAGGGCTTCTGAAAATGCAGCTTTTCCATCACAGGATTAACTTACATTTTAGTATATGAAAATGGAAAACAGTTATTTTAAATTGTAAAACTATTTCACAATAATACTGTTTTTACTGTATTTTTGATCAAATAAATGCAGCCTTGGTGAGCATAAAAAACTTCTTTAAAAAACCTAAATAGAATTACCAACCCCAAACTTGGTAGTGTATCCTCAAACTATGACAAACAGATCTACAACTATTTAACAGATTATGTGCCAGCCAAACACGTCAATATGTTTCTTCTAAATTGTCGGAGTGTGCCATTTTTCCTCTAATCCTCAGTTTATTATGAGGTTGCATGCCAAGGCTGTCTGAGCCACTGCGGCCCAGACTCACGCACACCATGTCTCCTTCATAGCCACAGTTCTGCTCGTGTTTCACAGCCAAACTCAATCCCACAAACCTCTGCGCTCTCAGCTTTATGGCCTAGACTGCAACACTGCTTATTAGCACTGCTCATCACTCGACAGGAAGGCAGCCAGATCTGTGCTAAATGTGACCATGTTAAACTATATTCAAGGATTTGAACATTAAAGCAATAAGCCCCAACAAACACGTATAAGACCAGAGAAGCAAGAAGTTGTAGCAAATGTAGGTGTTTAGACTGAAAAAAGTCTTACAGGCATGGGCGGCGCTAGGGAGGGGCTAGCAGGTACTTTAGCACCCTCAAGAAAGACCAAAGCACCCCCATAGCACCCCCACAAATAAAAAAATGAAATAAAATAAAAACATCTGACTCATTACGCATGCATAACTCGTGCAATGCATAACGTGACATGATTTGCGTCACACTTTTCGTAATGTCATAGCATTTTTTTTTTTTTTTAAATGGATTGGTTCCTTGTGCCAAGTAGGCATGCCCTATTTTTCTAGTCAACAAGTTGCATATTTATATTAAATTGATTAATATAATAGCCTTTTTTTTACGAATGATGTAGCCTATTAGGCTACTCTTATCTGTATGACCAAAAATGACAGAGTATTTTAAGTTATTTGCGCAGGGGGGAAAAAAATGTCATGTCATGTCTACATGTCATGCAGTAAGCGCAATAGGCTAATACTCCCACACTTCTCATAAACACTTGATATGCGCACATATAGCGCATATTCATCTAAATTCACGTCAGAGTGAACCGCCGTATATCTGAGAAGCAGCTGTGGCGATACCCAAAACAGCAGCTTGGCACATTTGTCCATCAATACACAGAGAGCGAAGGCTCTGGTTTGAGATTGTAAATAAAGTAAACATATCCCCAGAGCTTTTTGATGTCATATTGCCTTTGACTCAAATTCCGAAATGCTTGTTCACTGAATTCTAGATGGACTGTATCAAAATATTTGGGAACTGACTGATCTAGGCTACTTGTTTAATTTCATAAAATGAAAAAATGTAATTAAATTGTGATGAGTCAAATAATCATGTTATAAAATGTAAATCGAGTGGGTGATTAATTTAATTATTCATATAATAATAATAATAATAATAATAACCTGTTTTGGCCATATTTACTATTAAATGCCCAGCTCCCCGTCAGTGATCTAGCATACCCTCAGCTCATGAGTTCAAAATTCTCTGGCGCCGCCCCTGCTTATAGGTGAAATATCATAAAAATCTGACTTTTTCCATGTTTAAGTGCTCGAATCGGGTCCCCAGTGCATCTACCAACCCACAAAACGTGAAAAAGAACAACCCAGTAAATTTTTTTTGGTAAGCCTTTCTCTGCAATCTTGTGAACAAACCCCCATGACGTAGAAAGGGAATTTAAAGTCCCAGCCTTAGAAGAGACAAGATAGCAGTGGATTTTTTGATTTATTTACTATATATGACGCTGCTGCCACACAGATCTAATATAAAAATGTGATTTCTTTCCCAGCGGTTTACCTTCACAGATATAACCGACTGTTTTTGTAACCCGTATGTTTTTAACATAAACTTGTGTGTATTTGACAGTTTAAGCGCAATAAGACATGAGAGAGAACTTAGTTTAGT